AAAAAAAAAAAAAACATAAAAAAAAAGAAGATATACAAACAGCCAATAAGCACATGAGAAGATATTCAACATCATTAGTCATTATGGAAATGTAAACCCAAACCACAAAAAATACCATTCCACCCCCATGAGGATAGCTGTAATAAAAACAGATAAATACATGCATTGGCAAGGATGTGGAGAAATCAGAACCTATAAGCAATGCTGGTAAGAATGTAAAATAGTTCAATTGGTTTGAGAACAGTTTTACAGTTCCTCAGAAGTTAAACATTGAATTAACTATGTTCTAGCAATTCTACTCCTAGGTATATATCCAAGAAAATTGAAAATACACATCCTCACAAAAAGTTGTATATGACTGTCCATAATAGCATTATTCATAATAGGCATAAATGTCCATCAGTTGAAAAATGGACATTCAAAATGTGGTATATATCCATACAGTGGAATATTAATCAGCTATAAAAAGCGAATAAGTATTAATATCTGCTAGAGTATGGATAAATTTGGAAAACATGCTAAGTAAAAGAAACCATACGCAAAAGGCCACACGTATGATTCTATTTATATTAAATGTCTACATAGGCAAATAGAGATGGCAAGTAGATTTGTGTCTGCCAGGAGCTCGGAAGAGAAGAGAATGAGGACTACTAATGAGTACAGGGTTCGTTTTGAGGCTGATGAAAATGTTCTGGAATTAGTGGTGATGGTTGCACATCTCTGTGATATATTAAAAATCAATGATTTGCACATTCTAAATGGTAGGTTTTATGGTGTGTAAGCTAAATCTCATTACAAGGAAAAAAATGACCTATCTTAGATTTGTATTATATTATCTGATGTTCTAGAAGCCCCTAGAGTACTGAACTGGAGCTAGTTTGAAAATCCTCAGTGAAAGAAGTCTGTGGCTGTTTAGTTCTTTTTTGTTTTAAGATATATTACCAACCCAAGGATCAGCCTCATGGGGCACTGAGCTCGCTTTGTGTCTCCCAAACTCCAGGCAAGAATATTTCCAGTGGTACCAAATAAAAGTATCTGTGCAACACCTCCGCACCATTGCAATAAAGAGTTCAAAGCACATCCTACCATAACTGGGTTTGCTGCATTCTCTCCATATACAAAGATGGAGAGAGTATGGTATCTCCATCTCCAAACAGGTATCAGGAGACCTGTTTTCTAATCTCAGTGTTGTTGTTAACTTACTTAAACTTATACAAAATGGAGAGAGTATGGTATCTCCATCTCCAAACAGGTATCAGGAGATCTGTTTTCTAATCTCAACTCTGCCAATAACTTATTTAAGCCTCAGTTTCCTTATCTGTAAAACAAGTGGTTGGTACCAAAAGTCTCCAAGGTCTTTTCTAATACAAAGATTCTGAGATCCCAGGAAGGAAATCCCCTTCATCTCCTACTCCTCTCCTCCAACACACTCACCCATAAGTAAGAAACATTCAGCCATGACAACTGGACTATCATTTCTGGCCAAGAAGAGATGGGCTTTGTAGGGTGGCTGGCTAATGGAAAAAGAACAGAAAAAGAGGTGGAGCAACCCAAGAAATGATTGCACTGACTGGGATACTCAGAGACTAGAATCATCTTAAAGCCAGTTTCCAGGTCTGTGAAGTTTGTAAGTTGGGGATTGCCTCTATGGGGTCCTGATTCTGTTCAATAGAGAAAGTTCAATAGATGCCCACGGAATACCTACTCTATACTGCCAGTCCTCGGTACATGCTTTTTCCTCTGGCAGCACAGGGCATGTGTCCATGCTGCTGCCTTTTTTCGGTCCCCTTTATAGCTGGAGTCTCTTACTTCCATCTACAGTCCACCCTCAATCTGATGCTTTTCTCAGTTATCTAACTACATGAGATGACCGCCTCCCAGCATGGCCAACCCACCGGCCAGGGCCCGGGGATGGGTTCAGAGAAGATAGTAAGGAAAAGCACACCATGCCAGTGCTACTCCAGAGAATCTGCATCTTCAAATGCTTCAAGCAGCATGCTCATTGGATGGATAGTCAGATGGCCATCCCACTCCAGGGACTTGTTCCCTTCCCACCTTGAGGAAGAGGCAGTGCCTATAGGCACCAAGCTCCGCACCCCCAGGGATGGGAGCATTTCCCCCAGACGTGGTTGAAAAAGTCTGAATGAGAATGTCACGTACAACCCTTTACAATACTGAGGCCACCCATCTCTCTGTTTAACTTAGCTTCTGAAATCATTCTTGATAATGAGATCTGCCATGCCTCTATTTTATTTCCTGCTGTACAGTAGATTAAGGAGTAAAGTCCACTGTGAGAGCCTGTAAAATGAAGGTGACAGTGATCAAGAGTAGCCATTACCTGGAATATGACTTGACTTGGTTCTTGGCCTTCAAAAATAGAAAATGTCATGGGTTTCAGGGGTCCACTAAACTTCCTCTCCTGGCCATATCCAGCCGTCTGTTAAAAAAGGAAATAAAAAAAGAAAATTGGCATACCCATCATTATGAATACATACATGCCACTTGCTAATTTTATTATGGCTTCTAGGACTGATATAGAAGACATAACATTCTAACCTAGTCAAAACAATGCAAAGTATAGTCAAAACAGATAGAAAGAGATCTGATATTGTTGGGTTTCACTATATCAAGAGGGCTTGCCATGAGTCTTGTGCTATTTTTCTCCTTTAACCATTCAAGCAATCCCCCTGGAGAGAGAATATTAACACTCCCATGTTACAAATGAGGCTCACAGAGGTGAAGCTACTTGCCCAGAGTAAATGCCTTAAGTGGTTGTCAGGGCACACACACTAAGATCTAACTGAACAAAAGCTTCTATCTGCCCACAATGCCACTCTGTCTTCTAAATACAACACAGTGTTAAATCAGCTTCTTAAAACACCTTTCCTCCACTCCTATTCATTTAGAAGGACATTTATGGAAGATTCCCAGCACCCTAGAGTTCATGGTCACTTCAAGGACAACTAAATTTATAAGGGAAAAAAATATTTAGATGTGTTGAGTACAGTGCTTACTTGGTACAACTGTAACTTCAAGAAAAGCTTACTATTTTAATGTTTGATTAGCAATCCATGCTCATACATGAAAAAAAAAAAGAACAAAATGTTTACTTCAAGTAACTAAGACATTTCTAAAGCCAAAAGACCTTGAATTTGACAGGCAAGAAACCTCTGCAGACACCCAAATTCAGGCTGGAATAGCAGTATGTGGTGGCTGGGACAGTAAGAAGAGAAATTAGTTATGTCCCGAACTCAGTCCTAAAAACAGTTAATCCTGACAACCACCTGGGGACAAATTATTACTGCCAGCTCCGTTCTACAGGCAATGAGACTAAGATGCTGACAGGGTAAGCAGTTTGCCCAGGTGCTGACAGGAAGCAGGATTCTAACCCATTGCAACTCTGCAATGGCTGCCCTCAGCTGCTATGCCCCACTACCTACCGGAAGGAACAAAAAAGGACCAAGACAATCTGACAGGAAAACAGGTGACATCAAGGATGTACAGGAGGGTATGACTCCCACCATTCCCAACCCAGGAAGATGGGGAGCATCCAGTGGCAACCCCTGCCATCCCTCCATGTCCCACCACAACTATCCTTCTAAAGTGAGACAGAGCATGACAGGTGGCACACAGGGGGACAGCCAGCCATCAACCCACCCACAGAGGGCGCCCTCTGGAATGAGGGATTTAGCACCCGTACCCAATGCTTCTTCTGTGGTTCTTCAGGTCTACTTGTGTAGAAATCATGGGTGGGATAGGTTAGGATCAGAAGTATAATATGAGGAGTTGATGGTTGGGGAGCTGGAGAGGTAAAGTCAAGAAAGTGTGAAGAACTCGGGGGAAGAGAATTGTTTGCCACTTCTTCAGGGAGAGCAAGTACACTCTTGGGATGGACATGCTGAGAATAAACCAAGAACAATCAGTATGAGAGTTTGGGGGAAGGCCTTCCACTATATCCCTTGGTTCACTGAATTTCAATTAACTTGATACTGGTTGTCTGTCAGATGAAAACACAGAGGGCTTTGGAATTTGGTCTCCACTCCCTCAGATTGTGGAAGGCCCATGGACTAGCTGCCCCCAGCCATCACCAACCTCTCTCTTTCGGGAAGCCAAGAGGTCTCTTTCTCAGACTCCCCTGCAGCTAGCAGGGAGCTGAGTGACTTAGTTCTGGCTCCTGAAACAAAAGGTGAAGTCTACTGGAGGGTTTCTGGTCAAGCTTCTATTTTCCAATGAAAAAGGACAGATGTGGCCAGCATTGTCACCCCCCTTCCCCGTTGTTCTTGCTCAGACCATGGACCACATGTCTATGGCTGTGGTGGCCATCATGAAACCACAAGGGAACAAATCAGCTCAAATAATGGTGGAGCGAAGAGAATGATGCCCAAGTCTCTGATAATATCACAGAAATGCAAAACCTGCCTTGGGCTGTCCACTTCAGGCTTCTCGTTATCTGAGGAAATAAACCTCGACTTACTAGAGCCACTCCAAAGTTGAACTTTCTATTGCCTATACTAAAAGCATCCTTAACTGACACAATAACGTTATAGACTTCTAGCTCATCAATTCCTTTAAGGGAATATCTTCCTCTGGGGGCTCTTTCTCCCCTGCACTCCTTTTCCACATATCCTCTGGAGGGCAGGACACAAGAACTGGGTGCAGATGTCCAGGCACCACCATGGTTGGTACAAGATAAGAGCAGTGGTTTCTGTGGGATCATGATTTAACAGCAAACTGCCTTCATCAACTTTCTGCTCATGTCAGCAAGTGGCCAGTCTTTCAGCAGCTCACACTAGTAATGGCATCCAGAAGAAACTCCCATTAGTCGAGCAAACCTCACAAACAAGGCTGTGTTCTTCCTGCGAGGACAAGCTGGCTCACCTATCGGGACAGGAGGGTATATCTCAGTTGCAAGGTTCAAAGTTGCATTCTCGTAACAGGGCAGCAAATCTCCCTACATGCCCATTAACATTTCTATTTGGGCTATAAAGATTTCAAAATGTGTGTGTGTGTTCTGACTCATCAAGCCACATTGCCCGAACTGGGAAAGGTGGTGTGGGGGAAACGAGAAAGAAAAGAGGGTTCATGCAGGAGTTGGAGAGGTAACACCTACCATCCTGCACGAAGTAAAAGGAAGGGAAGAGAATAGAACTGTCATTTTTTAAATGTTTCCTGTGCAGCAGCTGTGGGACTAGACCCTCCACACGTATCATTTCTTCTGCTCCTCAACAAGATCAGGAAAGTATGTCCAGAAAAGTGCCACAGCGGAGACACAGATAATGTGGGATGAAGCCAGCTCTGTGGCACCACCGAGCCCCAACTCTGAGCCACGTTGCCACACCCTTCCAGACCAGCACAGGATACATGGGACTGCTAGGTCTGCCTACCGTGTAGCCACCCTCCTTGTACTTCCCAGCAAGAGTTCTCTGCAGTAATTACATAGTATTTATGCCAACCCCCCCTTACTTCTAGAAGAAGTACAATCCCAGGCAAAACTCTAAAACAGGTGGCTTCTCCTTGATTTCCCTACCTAACTATGCAGCACCCCTTCCCAAACCCTGGTCACTTACTTGCTTTCTCTTCAGGGCCCTTGCAATATATTCAGGCAATGTTTCGTGCCCCTGACGGAAACCAGTGCTCAGGAGAGAACAGGAGAGCCACTTGCTGAACAAATGACTGAGGGTGAGGGGCGCCTGGGGGGCTCAGTCAGTCAAGCGTCTGATTCTTGATTTTGACTCAGGTCATGATCTCACAGTTGGGAGATCAAGCCCCACCTCAGGCTGAACATGAAGCCTGCTTAGGATTCTCTTTTTCTCTCTCTCTCTGTTCTTCCCCCACTTGTTCGTTCTCTCTCTCTTTCTTTCAATAAAATAAATAAGCATTAAAAAAATTTTTTTAAATGACAGGGGGTGGTGGGGTGGATGGTAGCAACTCCCTTCCTTCACCTGACACAGCTGTGCATGTGGCTATCTCCTGGGCAAGGCTCTTGCTGCCAGCAATGGTTTGGGCACTATTTCTTACTCTAGGTAGAAATCCCACTGGCCTGAGAGTAGAGAGAAGGAAAACTTATATCCAACATTTTATCCAGGAAAAAAAAAATGCATGTCTCCTTCTCAGACAAGATAAGCCCACTATTATCAAATTATCATGATAGAATCTTGTCTTAGATCTTGCTGTCTCCTAATATAAGTCCATGATTATGTACTTAATTTCTACCCTGTTCCTGGCATAGTGCTGCGTGCTGAGGCTGCAAATATGACTAAAAGATAGTTCTCCTCATGGAAGTCAAGGTCCATATGAATGTAGACACTGAATATTTAAAATGCTGTAGTAATAATAATAGCCAATATTTATCTAGTACTTAGACTGGGCCGGTCACTGACCAAAGAGCTTTATATAAATGCACTAGCTCATTTAATGGCCACAACAACCAATAAGGCAAGTACTCTTTTAAGACCCATTTCATGGGGCAGGAAACTGAGGTTCAGAACTTAACTATCTCACCCAAGCTCCTATCACTAGTAAGTGGCACTGCCACTTTTGTACCTAGGTCTGACTTCACTACCACCCTGTCATAAGACAGATAGCAAAGGGCATTCAATAGGGTAAGAAGAGGAGACAGGTTAAGAGGGGATGTTTGACATACTCCAAGCAGCCCTTGTGTCTGGCTTTGAGCCCCCAGTGTATGAGGAGGCACATCGCTCATAAAGTTGGAACCGCAGCTTCCTTCCCTCCCCCGGGAGGAAGGCTCTGGTGGGTTTACAAGTTTGGCTCTGTTTCATTATGTCAATATTCTGAACTTTGAGGACTCTAGGAGGCTCTCAGGAACTTAGAATTTGATGCTATTTTTGGGTCCCAGAAGAAAAAAAAACAAGATTTGAAATGTGAGGGTCTAGCAACTTCCTTCTAAAGAGAAAGCAGATGCTTCCCCATAATCTTGCCTCCTAATACAACAGACTATTGGGCAAGTGTACGACCTTTATGAGACTCATGAATAAAACAATGATGACACCCCACTATCTACCCAAGATTGAGGGCTGGGTCTCTCCAGAGTCCATCCAGCTCTAATTTCTAGAAGCCTGTTAGTCAACAGGGTTGACTCAACAAATGGCTAAAGACAACTTTGACCAGAAAACTCCAAACCATATATAGGGGATAAAAGTACAAAACAGAGCAGGGTTGAAAATAGAGAAAATGCTTTTCTTAATATTCCCATGGTAATTTTTCATGGTCAAAGTAAAAAAAAAGTCAAGATTAAGGGACATAGACTAAAGTATACATACATATATATATATATATATATATATATATATACACACACACACACACACTACATACACATAAATATATTTAGTATATATATACATTAATATATGTACAGTATACTTTTCTTTCCAGAGTCCCTGAGCTATACATGAAGATCTAAACATGAATAGACAGATTTGTTTTAAACCTTGCCTGTTAAGTGGTATTGGTTTTTAAGAGTTGAGGAGAAAGTACCTCCCTGGTTGAAGAGTAGACATTTGACTTGTAGCCATTTCATCAAAAATATCACAGTGGGGCAAACTACGTGTCCTTTGTATACAATTTAATTTTGATAGATTTTTTTTTTAGGTGATGATAATCATCATTTCCTTGGTATGAGGTAGAAAATGGCAGAAAATATTCTGGCAAATAAATAAAGAACATCCTCTTCTCTTACCAAATAAAGTGTAAGGAGACACAAGCAATGGAGTTGGGCTCGCATCATTGTGGTTTTCTGTATTGAAACTTCTGTGAATAAACCAGAGATAAAAGTGATTAGTTACCAGTCGGTTAAAATCACATATTTCCAACCAGAAAGGATCATGGAACAATATCCAGTTATAAACCTAGTAGAATGGGATTTCTAAAGGCCAGCTTCTTCTCGTTTTGGAACCACCCAGCCTTCCAGAAGCTTTATGATGCCTCATCCATAGCAACACACAAGTCAAAATCCCAAAAGAAGCTCATAGTAATTCCATTTCTTTACCTGTTTCACTTTATTATAATCTTCTCCATTTCAGGGTCATAAATGGTAGAAAATAAGTACAGTTTTCACTTTTATTGTATGCATGGGAAAGATATGCTTTGGCAAATGCCAGGATAACAGATACTAAAATTTTAGTGATTCTGACTCAAAGTTGCAAAGACATGAGCTTCCTCCAGCAGAAAGAACCCAAGAACGTTCATCATCCTTCATTCAAAGACTTCACCAGCCACACTTCGGTCTTCTAAACACTGTTGCTAACTAGGCAATATGCCTAAGGGAAAAGTATATTTCTTATTACTCCAAAAGCAACCAAATAAGAATCCAAACTCTGCCCTTACTCTCTTCTGTTCAGCATTATTCCTTTCTTTCTTGTGGCTTCACATTTTTTCAACATTATAACTTTCACTCTGAGACACATCATGACGAACTGATTTTTAAGATTTGATATAAATTTTCCACATGGACTATAAAGCAGGGTTGTTGCCTATCATAATACTGGACTGCTAAAACCAAAAAAATTGGTAAAATGGAACGTGTACCCATTTCACCAAAATTCCAATGAACTTATATCACTAATATAGTCACCATGAAAATATGGTTATTGAAATTCTAACCACTCTAAAAATGTAGTCCCTGACATTTTAAATTTCTTACATTTGGATAGCTTATATTTGAACTTTATAAGTACCACACACTAACTGATTGTGCCACTGGAGCTCCCATATTTGAACTTTAAAAAGGTAAATGTACTATACAATTTTAGCCTCGCAAATGCCTTAAGAGATAAAGATGGAAATAAGCATTTGTTAAGCAACATCTAGGAGGTAGATTTGGGAGGAGCCTTTACAAACAGTGTAACAGTGATGTAGACAGTGGATTCTGAGTCGGAAAGCCTGTGAGTTTCTCACAGACATAATGAGTTAGGAAATGTTATACTTATTTTATATATGAGGAAATGGAAGTTCAAAGTTAAGTGATTTGCCCAACACATAGCTAGAAAGGGACACTGCATTGCTTCCAGCCAGATCTGTCAGATCCCAAAGACCTAAACCTCTTTCAACTCTTTCTACTGTACTGTGTATAATGTGGGAGCTGCAGAGATACAGATATAGGAACAGAGGTATGGAGATATATAAAATGTATATATTGTTTCTACATGCTAAATCAATGAAGCAACTATTCCCAAGGTTCTACAGCTATGTTAAGGAAGAGCTAGAATCAAAACCCTTCAGGAAAATCAGATTCATAAATTCTATGAATGTTTAGAAATGAGCTTTTGCAACAGAATTAATTTGGTCGTTGTGTTCAAACATCATTTTAGAATTGGCTCATTATCTTAAACACAAACAAGACATTTTTCTACTGCTTTAGACTGCTTATGTGGTTTGGAAACACATGGAAATAAATAACAATGCCAGGCTGAAGCATATTGCAATACTAAATATATATATATATATATGAATCAATTATTAAATCTAACTAGGTTTGTTTGGTTTTTTCACATTGGAAAAATTCACATGATCAGCTGTCACCAATGTTTTTAAGAGAAGGGGTGCCTGGGTGGCTCATTCAGTTGAACGTCCAACTCTTGGTTTCAGCTCAGGTCATGATCTCATGGTTTGTCAGTTCAAGCCCCACGTTGCACTCCAGACTGACAGTGTGGAGCCTGCTTGAGATTCTCTCTCTTTTCCTTTCTCTCTGCTCCTTTCCCACTTGTGTGTGCGCTCTCTCTCTCTCTCTCTCTCTCTCGCTCTCTCTCTCAAAAAAAAGTAACAAAAAATAATAATTATTATAAAAAATACTTGTAAGAGAAGTGAAAATATACATGATAGTGGCACACTTGGGGATCATTCTCCTCAAGCTCCACAGCATTCAAGAGCTTTCAAATACTGGTCCCAACTTGCTCTTCCAGCCTTATCTCCAACTCCCTTCCCACCCTCAGTAAAGCTGTCTACCAGGATGGACTCTGCACCCGAGATTTCCTGTCTCCATGCTTCGGGGCTTGCTGTCCTCCCCACCCAGCAAAAGGCCAGCTGCAATAAAGGGACAGATAATATTTGCATCAGGAAGCTGGATTAAGATTGTCCTTCCTGACCTCTACTCATACTAGTTGTCATACCTTACCTCTAGTTCCAACTTGTTCATTTATTTCAAAAGCATTGAATTATTATAAAAAGCTCTCATATGCCAGAAACCATGCTAAGAACTGGGATACGCAAATAAGGGGTAGCTCACGGAGCTAGAACCAAAATCCTACTTCCTTCATGAAATCGTCAGTGACTTCCAGCCAGATGTATCTTCCTCTTGAAACCCCTCCTGCATTTTATTTTTTTATCATTTATTTATATATCCGTGTGATTTCCTCTACTAGGAAGCACAATCCTTCAAGACAGAGGCCTAATTTTATTTTTTTATTTAAAAAAAATTTTTTATTATGTTTATTTTGAGAGAGAGAAAGAGAGAGAGAAAGTGCGTGCAAGCGGGGGAGGGGCAGAGAGAGAGGGAGACACAGATCCAAAGCAGGCTCCAGGCTCTGAGCTGTTGGCACATAGCCCGAGGCGGGGCTCAAACCCACAAGCTGCGAGATCATGACCTGAGCCGAAGTCTGACGCTCAACCAACTGAGTCACCCAGGCGCCATGAGGCCTAATTAAAAAAAATTTTTTTTTTTTTACCTCTCACAGCTTGTCATACTATGCCTTGCATATATTAAGCCCTCAACAGATGTTTGTTAAATTCTAAAACATTTTAATTGTCTAACACTGATATCCTATGAATTTTGTCCAATCTATAAGAGCTTTCAGAATAAACACAAATTGTTAAAGGAAGTTAATTTGGAATTTAAAGATTTGTTTTGATGCAAAGTAATGCATTTTTATTGTTGGTGAAAAGGCTTGCTTCTCTTTTAAATACACTAACAGATTTCTGCTCAGTAAATAGGTTAAGGACTGGCCAATACACATCACCTCTTCCTTGAGCTGATTTCTTTAGTGCTTTTAATCTCCCAAAGACATAAATTGAATGATAGAAAAGCAAATGAAAATAAAATAAATGCCTTATTTTAGTCAGTTGCTCAGACAGGCCACCATCCGGGATGCTTTAAGGAATCTAAAACGTAAAAGTAGCAATGCACTTATCCCTTATTTTGTCAGTCATAGCACAGAAAGGTTTCCAGTGAGCAAGAGAAGTAATTGCTCTCTGCTGCCGTGCCTAGGGTTCCATGATTTATTTGCAGACAAATATACCCCACAGTGCGGTTGTTGGGAACACGGACCCCGGAGTTAGACTGGTTGGTTTGGATCCTGGCTCCTCCAGCAACCTATCTGTATTCCTCTGTAAAGCAGGGATGATCATAGTACTTACCTTTGAGATTTATGGGGTTCAATGAGTTAATAGTTTGAACAGTGTTCGTCACATAAAAATTCATTCTACCACCTTGTTCCCTTAGTCAGAGCTTTCAGCACTGTCCTGTAGAACGTCTCCTTTCATCATCCCTGGCGTTTGGAGGCCCCCATAATACTCAAGAAGCAGCCTTCACAACCAAGCGAAGCCATGAGACAAAGCCTTTATCTGAATGCATCGAGGCAAAAGGCACTAATGCTGGGATTATGCCAGAGGAGGACTTTAGCCCCTCAAACAAATCTTGCCTATATTTCCTCTGTGCATGGACGTAATTCCACTAATGAATATCACATCCTGGATCATAATATTGCTGGAGGGAAACCATAGTTTATAACCGCAACTGCCTAAAACCACCACGCCACACGCACTTGATAGATTTCCTCACAAACGCTCCTTAGAAAAGGATTGGAGTGTATTTCTAGATAATTCAGTGACATTTTAGCTGCCCTACCTGAAATGGTAGATCCAAAGATCTGCTTAGAATTTTTGCTATTTGTTGGGGTTCCCCTCAGGCACAAAGACTAAATTCAGACAGTTTCTATGGCAACTATCTGTGAGGCCAAGCACATCCTTAGCAACACAGGTCAAAGGTTTTGTGGGAAAGGGGGATTTTGAAAAGCCACCACCACTTGCTTTAACCATGGACCATCGGCAAATACAGAATCAGGGCTGCTGGCCTTGCTGTTTACGGCTAATGCCTTGATTCACCACAGCCCACAAAACACAAATCCCTCTGCGTCCTGAATCTGTGTCCAGCCGGAAGAATAGCACGAAGGCAGCTAACACTTACTGAAAACCATTTGCCATGCACACGCTAAGACTTCTATATGCGTTACCTTATTGATTTCTCATAAGAACCCTCTGAAGCAGGTACTGTTAAAATCTGCCTCTTAAAGATCAAAAATCTAAAGGTGAGGGTTAAAGACGTTAAGAGACGTGCCCGAGATCACACTGCCTGGCCAATTCTACACCCATGTTCTTTTCATAAACATAATGAGACATCTAGTATCACTTAATCCATTACACATCTTCCCAAAAATTCAAAACACTTTTTCTTTTTCCTTTTTTTTTTTTTTTAAATTTTTTTTTTTCAACGTTTTTTATTTATTTTTGGGACAGAGAGAGACAGAGCATGAACGGGGGAGGGGCAGAGAGAGAGGGAGACACAGAATCGGAAACAGGCTCCAGGCTCTGAGCCATCAGCCCAGAGCCTGACGCGGGGCTCGAACTCACGGACCGCGAGATCGTGACCTGGCTGAAGTCGGACGCTTAACCGACTGCGCCACCCAGGCGCCCCTCCTTTTTTTTTTTTTAAACTCTGCTGCTCTTCCTCATCAG